TTGCCGGGGCCCGGTTTGCCGGCTTTTGAGACGCGCGTGTTCCATTGGCCCAGGTTCTTTTGCAGGCTTCGAATGAAGGCCTCCCTCGACGGGGCCCCCGGGGCGTTCCCGCAGGTTTTCGGAGCCCCTGGAGCTGCTCGGTGGTCATCGGGGCCATTACGAGGCCCCCCAGAGGTCATAAGAGGCTTTCAGGTGCCTTCCAATCTCCCCGCGTTTTGCTTCCGCACCAGTTTCCGGTCGTATCCACCTGCCCCCACTTTTCAACGTTGCTTCCCAGTCTTCTTTATTTTTTCTTTTTATCTTCATTTTCATTTCGTTCGTATGCCACTGTGCTATTCCTCAGTTCTTCGCATTCCGCCCGCTCCCCCCCAGGCCGCCCCACCCCGCCCCAATGATCTCCACCCCTTCCCGCTCGCGTTCCGCATTTCTCCCAGATTATTCCCGGCCCCTCCTCCACAGTCCTCCGCGCGCCCGCCGCTCCTCCGCGCTCCTCCCGGTTCCTCTTCTCCACTCCTTGCCGCTCCTCCTCCTGAGACCCTACTCTTGTCTACTCCATCCCAATCCATTCCGCGTCCCCGCGCCCCTCTCGACGCGGCTGCAGTTCCTTCCATCCTTCCGCCCCGCTCCCCCACCATCCCGTTTCTTTTCCGGGTTCCACGAAACTTGTTTCTGACGCCAGTCCGCAGCTGTGCGCCCCCCCGTGGGGGTATCCGCGATCTGTTCTTTCGCGGGGGTGGTGCGTGGCGCTGTTAATGGCGCGACCCATGGCGAAACTTATTGTTGGCCTGTGTTGGACTGGCCGGCGCAAGCCGTGGCGCAATATGAGTCGCCACTCGCAGCGCAAATCATCGTCCCCCTCCTTTTTGCCCTCCCCTCTCATCCTCCGATCCCTTCGTCCTCATTATCCCCCGTTATGCGTTGCCCTTCGTTTTTAAGGACTTCACCGACCGCGCGTGGCACGGAAAGAAAATGCCCCCCGAAAGGGATGCGATCGAAGACGAAGAGGACGGGCGCCCAGGGTTTGGGGGTATGCGCATTGAATGACACGCGATCAAATGAGAACGAACAGTCTTGAACTAATCATTATTGTTGTTGTTGCTGCTGTTGTTGTTGTGGTTGTTGTCATTGTTGTTGTCGTCGTTGCTGGTATTGTTGTTATTGTTGTTGTCATTGTTGTTGTTGTTGTTGCAAATGGTCATTGTCATTGTCCTTGTTTTGTTGTTGTTGTTGTTGTTGTTGTTGTTGTTGAACATTATTTCTTCTTAAGAATAATTATTGTTGGGGCCCCTGGTGCGCGACCTCTGCGCCGCGCCTAGGCCGCAGCTACATTTTCATCATTTTTTCGCGAAAGCTTCAGAAAAGTGGATTGTGTCCGGATCCGGTTTTTTGTTGACGCTCGTTTTCCCTTGCAAAAAACAATAGAAAATGAAAATTCTTGTTCTTACTTGATCAAATTGCAAGAATCCCTTGCAAAAAATAAGGTAAAGTGGACATTCGTGCGCGCAAGACGAAATCCTTCCAAAACCTTAGGTTTCGTAGCGATTTTAACATAAAAACGTCAAAAACCCAATGGTTTTTTAAGAAAAAATTGTCAAAATGTCCTTCCGCGCGCGCTGTCCGAATCCCACAAAACCAATGGTTTTTCAACATTTATGTTACATGAGCTCGCGCGAGCTACTTTTTCTTGTTCTAACATAATCAAATTTCAATAATCCCTTGCAAAAAATAAGGTAAAGTGGACATTCGCGCGCGCAAGACGAAATCCTTCCAGAACCTTAGGTTTCGTAACGATTTCAACATAAAAACATCAAAAACCCAATGGTTTTTCAAAAAAAAATGTCCAAATTTCATCCCGCGCGCGCTGTCCGACTCCCACAAAACCAATGGTTTTTCAACATTTATGTTACATGAGCTCGCGCGAGCTACTTTTTCTTGTTCTAACATAATCAAATTTCAATACTCCCTTGCAAAAAAAAGTAAAGTGGACATTCGCGCGCGCAAGACCAACAAAAAACACGACGATCTTAGGAACTTGCCCCAAAAATGTGACCAACTCCGCTCTCTCTGTCTCTCTCTCTGTCTGCTCTCTGTCTCTCTCTCTGTCTGTCTGTGTCATGTATTGTATGTCACAATTGCAGGATGCTGGGCACACGCGCGCCCCGAATAAGTGACCAAGTTCTGTGGGTGTGTACCCCACGCCAGTGTAGTAGCCACGGTCGTCGTCCGCACGCCACGAAGTGAAGTGTCCCAACGTCATAGGGCGGGAAGCTGGGTTTGGGTGGTCGCGAAGAGTCGTTTGGATATTTGGTAGAGCTTGAACTGCCCCCCCACGAAGTGGGGGTATTGTCTCGCGTCGCATGAAAACCCTGGCACTGGTGAGAACACTGAGCGTTCGGGTAAAATGATTGTTTTTGTTGTTGTTGTTGTTGTTATGGTTGTTGTTGTTGCTGTTGTTGTTGTTGTTGTTGTTGTTGTTGTTGTTGATGCTGTTGCTGTTGTTGTTGTTGTTGTTGTGGTTGTTGTTGTTGTTGTTTGTGAATTTTCGCTTATGAACAATGTGTTTTGTTGATCCCCCTCGGGTAGCCAGTGCATTTTTCAATCGGTGTGCCCTTCCTGGGGCTCGCGTCATATTTTTTGTCCGGGAAAGCGTGGTGCCACCGAATTGTGCCCCTGGCCCCCGGCTAACAGCAACAATGGCTCCCGCCGGATAGCTCCTTGCAATTTATTCCGAAATCGCGTTTTTCTTTCAAAGTTATGCATGAATCGCGCTCTCGGATCAATCCCCCCCTTTCAGAAATAACCCACCCAAAGTATTGGTGCCGATGCCTCTCCCTCACTCTCAGTCGTCTGCACCTCCTGAGGTGCCCTCGTCGCCGCGGCCGGATCTTCCAGGAGGACGAGGACGAGGAGGAGGGGGAAGAGGTGGAGGAGGACGCGGGATCGGCGATGGCCCTTTGACTAAGGAACTGGGGGGTTGGAGTGGGATTTCGGTGAGGAGGGGAGCCATCCTTGCCACACCCAGGCGCTGCCGCATACTCTTGAATTTCTGCTGCTCCCAGCTGTTTTGCGTATCTTGGTTCTCGCCGGCGCGCGCTGCTGCAGCACCATGTTTTTCCTTCTATTTGATGGAACTTATCTGTCTTGCATCCTACGACGCTCCATGCTGTTGCAGTGAGTCTGCGCGACGTCAAAAGGGAGGACGCGGGACAGAGGCAGGAAGAGGAGCAGGGAACGCGGGAGGTGGGAGCGGGCAGGCGAGCGGCCGGTCGGCCAGGAAAGCGGGCGGTAGCAGGTCAGGACGGCAGAGCGGAGGAGGCGCCGCCGGAGGCGGCAAGGGAGGCGGGCACGGCGGGCCAGGCCGCCCGCTTCGGGGGACTGTTCGCGACAATTCGCAGGGGAGTTTCGAGGATGTTCGCAACAGTTCGTGCAGTCCAGGATGCGCACGTCATGCGCTGGGAGGCGGGCGTGGCGGGCTGGGCCACCCGCCTCGGGGGAAGACGGCGGAGTCGGGCGAGTGGGTTCTTTGCAAGGGGGGTCTCAAGGATGTTCGCAGCAGTTCGTGCAGTCGTCTGTGCAGCATGCACACGTAATACACTATGGGCATGCGGCTGCCGCGCGCCATGCGCCACAGGATGAGCTGTTGCATTTTGTTGTTCGCGACCCCATTACGAAAGACGGAACCAACGAGGGAGAGTTAGCCACCTGCAGAAGGGGGGTAGGGGGGAGGGGGGAGGGCTCCTTCTAAGAAGCCTTCCCACCTCCCCACGCGCCATGCGCCACGTTATGAACTATTGCGTTTGCACGTTTTGTTTGCAAGCCCATTGCGAAAGACCCCCCTTTGCCTTTCCTGGAATCAGAGAGGGCGGCCCTCTCCAGCACCGGCACGTCGACCTCGACGGGGTCAACGTCGACGTGGTCCACGGCCACGGCGTCGGCGCGGGCGGCGCGAATTTCGGGGGCAGCGTCAGGGGGGGCAGCTTTGCTCAGGGGCCTCTCCCGGGGACTCTTGGGCCGGTTCGTGGCGACGTTTGGCGTCTCGTTTGCCGCTCTCTGACGCTCTTCATATGAAAACCAGTGGATTTTGTCGGTTTGGGCTGATTGGGCCGCCGTCCAGGGCCTCCAAGACGGCCCAAGAGGCACCCAAGAAGGCTCTAGGACAGGAGTGGGTCGACCCACACTTGCCATCCCCCCGTTCGTTTGGCACGAGCGTCGGGTTGGACGGCGGAGGGGTTGGGAGGATCGATGCCCGTGGTTGGTGGATCGAGGCTTTTGGGATGCCTTCGAGCCCACCTCCGGATGCTGCTCGTCGTGTTTCCCTCGGGCGTTCTTTGGTCAGAACGCATCCCTGGAGAGGCCACGGCGTCGAAGGTCGATGTCGGGGGAGCAGGAGGAGGAGGAGGAGGAGGAGGAGGAGGAGGAGGAGGAGTAGGCGGACAAGAGTAAAAGAAATGTGTATAAACGATCCTGCAACACAACGCGTTCTCCGTTCCGAAGTTTCCTGCTAACTCGCGGCTACAAGTCCTCCTCTTCACTCCAAGGATGCCCCCTCCGAAAGACCAGCACAGTTGGGTCTGCCATTGTGGCGAGGACCTCGCTTGAACAATACAATTCGTTTCATTCATTGGCGCGAGGCCAGGAACGCGGAATGCAATAAGCATACGTTCCACTGAGGTGTGCAGCGAGATCCTTCTTTCGAAGAAGGACCGCCCTCTCCCACCCGTGAAACTGTTGCACAAGCTTACAAGTGTGGTCATAATTTCGAGGAGGTTTCAAGGGACAGCTGAATTTTGAGAAATAGCAGCCATGGATCCGCGCAGCGCTACGTGCGTTGAAGTTTCGAGTGTTTCAAACATTGGAGAAGTCTCAAGCAACAACCCCGTGTTCGTCAGCGTGGATCCGAAGCAGTGTTTTCCTAGCAATGTACGGTGTGCAGTGTTCTCATGGGGTCCACGCTTCCGAGCTCGAGCTCGAGCGGCGGCATCTAAACCCTGCAATTGTTGTGGAAGTCGATTAATGGAGAGGAAGCATGCTGTCAAATAATTTCCAGATGTCCAAACAGTGTTTCAAACATGTTTTAAACATGGAACACATGTTTGGAACATTCTTAGAGCATCTTTTACACAGTTTAAACACATTTTTAATTCAATGATCGGACTGTTAGAGCGTCCATCGTCACGGCATCCACAATGCAATTGTCACTTTTGGGCTCCCCAGGCCTGAATCGAGGCGGTCTCGAGCGGGAGCCTGGTTTGCGCGTCACTCGCGAGGACGCCTCGAGCGAGCGCCCCTCCCTGTGGTGTCCCCGCCTCGATTTTCGAATCCGAGCGGGACACATCCAACCCCTGCAGCTTTCATTACTTTCGGGCCCCTCGGGCTTGAGTCTGGAGGAAGTCTCGAGCGGGAGCCTGGTTTGTGAGTGAGTCGCGAGGCAGTCTTGGATGGAAACGGAGTCCCCACCTTCATGTTCGAATCCGGGCGGGGTGATCCAAACCCCGTAACTGTCGTCACTTTTGGGCTAAGTCTTGAATCTGGAGGAAGTCTTGAGCGTGGGAGCTTGTTTTGTAAGCGAAGCGTGAGGAAGTCTTGAGCGGGAGCCCACTCCCTATGGGGTCCCCACCTCCATGTTCGAATCGAGCGGATTCATCCAAGCTCTGTAGCTTTGTTTGCTTTTGGGCTCCTCGGGCCTGAATCTGGAGGAAGTCTCGGGCGGGGCGGGGAAGTCTCGAACGGGAGCCCTCTCCCTGTGGGGTCCCCGCTTCCATTTTCGAACTCGTGAGTTTCATCTGCTTATAATAGCAGGCATAGCACTTGAGCACCCAAAGGGGGCAAATCGTGGGGAAGTCTCGAGCGGGAACCTCGTCTGTGTGAATCGCACGGAAGTCTCGAGCGGGAGCCGGGGGCGCACCAGTTGCACAAGTCCCACGGGTCCATCCGGCCGAACAAGACTCACAGGGCCCACGGCCCCCACAGGTCGCACTGGTCCCACGCGGCCAACCGGTCCCAGAGGCCCCACAGGTCACTCAGGTCCCACAGGCGTCTCACAAGCCTCACAAGTCCCACTGGTCCCACAGGTCGCACAGGTCCGACAGGTCCCGCAGCTGCCACAGGCCCCGCAGGTGCCACAGGCCCCACAGGTCCTAGAGGCCCCGCAGGTCCCACCCCACCCGTCCTTCAAGGTTCGCGAGTGCCACATGTCCCACAGGTCCAGCAAACCCTGCAGGCTGTGCACAGGCGTCACGGGCCCCACAAGTATCACAGTCCCACGGGCCCCACAGGTCCCACAAGTTCCAGGGGCCCCACTGGTCCCATAGGTCCCACAGTACGCATAGGTGCCCCGGGCCCCACAGGTCTCACGGATCGCACATGTCCCACAGGCCCCGCAGGTCGTACAGGCCCCGCAGGCCGCACACGTCCCACGGGTCGCACAGGTTCCACGAGCCCTACGAGTCTCAAGAATCCCAGGGGCCCCACAGGTCTCAACGGCCTCGCAGGTCGCGTCCTGGCATCTTGGCATCCTCGCATCATCACCATCGTTAGTCATCGATGATGGTGTCTTTCATGAGCACTGAGAGAACTCACATGTGGGGTCCTTCTGTTGGGGTATCTTTTAAGACGCGAGAGTCTATGCGGTGCAATCTATGTTTGACAATGCAGGCGGCGACGGGGCCACGGGGCGGCACAGCCGCCAGACTGACACCCCCCCAGACGACACGCGGTGGCGGGGCGGCGACGGCGATGACATATCCGCCAGACGGACAATCCCCCCCTGAGTGCAAAGTCTGCTTGGGGAGCTTAGGAAAACAGTAGTCCTGCATCCTGCTGAACGTTTCGTCCAAGAAGAACAGTGCGTGCGGTGCTGAGGCGAGGTCCCCATCCTGAAAACGACCAGTGCTCGAGCCGTGAAGCCGTTGCAGGATCGTGAGACGAATGTTCGCGGGTCGAAGGCGAGAAGCACATGTTGAAGAGGAAGCGCGCTCCATCCGTGAAGCTAGTGCAAACTTTCAAGACGAATGTGCGCGGCGCCGAGGCGAGAGCCACATTTTGACCTCCCCTTCATCCGTGAAGCTGCTGCCAAACTTGAAAAGAAATGTGCGCGGCGCTGAGGCGAACACCTCATTTTGAAATGGAGCCGCCTTCTATCTGCGACGCTGTTGCAACCTTCGAGGACGAGTGTGCGCGGAGCTACAGCGAGAGGCACATTCTGAAAACGACGTGTGCTCCATTCGCGAGACTGCTGTACACTTGTACGACGAATGTGCGCGGCGCTAAGGTGAGAGCATTCTGAAAACGACCCGTGCTCCACCCGTGAAACTGTTGCAAACTTTAAAGACGAATGTGCGCGGTGCTGAGGCGAGAACTACATTTTGAAAACGACCAACCTCCATCAGTGAGCCTGTTGCAAATTTCAAGCTTCATGGTAACAGGTGGTGAAGAAGTCTGCGGTTAATCGCCTGATCCGCCCTACGGACAGGTCTGGGGGTGCGACAGGGAGTTTTTTTGTACGGAAGGGGATGGATGGGGGGAGAACGAAGACGTGTTATGGGGCGATCGGCTCAGAGAGGAATGGATTCTCCCCCAATCGCCCATTCATCGCCGGTAGGGGCCCGACATCCCGCCCCGCTCAGGAGTGTGCGGTCTCGCGCTATCGGGGACTCAATCGCCGAGATGTATCGGCGATTTGCCGCTGATTCAAATTCGATGTCCCCCTATATGCCAGTCTACTCGTATCGTTCCTCGGGAGGTTCATATTCCCCTGCGGTGGCATGTTGGTGTGCGTAAGGGCATTCCAGCCGCCCTAAGGACAGGCGTTTTTGGTGGTGCACGAGTTTTTGTTGTGTTTTTGTGACGGTATTTGTCCGCTACTTGACCTCCCTCTTTGTCACCATGAAGGTAAGGGGATCCTGGAGAAATCTTTGGATTTCCGTTGTCGGGCTCCCAGGGCATTAGGTGGCCCCCAGCCATGAACAAAAGGCGACCCGTCAAGAATTTGGTCTCGGGAAAGGCCCTGGGGAACAGGATCCGTTTCCATCAAGAGCCCTTTTCGGGGTCGTCGTATGGGGGGGGCGGAGGACTAGGGACGTGTGGATATCATGGCTGGGGCCACGAACTTTTCCAGCTCTCGTGGCACCCCCTTTTTCTTCCAGCGTGTCCCCTGCCCTCGTCCGCGCACATGACTCGGGCCACGATGCGCTGCCCCGCCCCCTTCCTGCCCCCCCTCTTCGACGCACCCGAGCTCAGCCCCGCTTTTACCCAGCCCAGCTCGGCTCAGTCCTCGGCTCAACCCCGCTTTTACCCAGCCCAGCTCGGCTTTTCCTGCCCCCCCTCTTCGACTCACCCGAGCTCAGCCCCGCTTTTACCCAGCCCAGCTCGGCTCACTCTGGCCGCGTTGCCCCTCAGTCGGGCTCGATCGTCGATAGCCTTCCGTCGCTCCCGCGAAAACCATCCTCCGCTCGCCGCCGCCAACCTCTTCCCTGTAGGTCACCACCCACCAAACCACCCCAACCCAACCTGAAGGCCCCAATTTATCCTCGATTTCCAGTTGGGGGGGGGTCGTGGAACGTCGAGAAAACACATATGGAACCCGTACCTCCCCCAACCCGAAATTCGGGTCTTCGGGTTGGGTTGGGGTGGTTTGGTAGGTAGTCAGTAGGGGGACAGCTATACGGGTCCACCCTCGCTCCTCCACCCCCACCCCCGGGACGGAGGCAACACATCCGAGGGGGTCTCGAACCTCCTCGCGTCGCGAGGAGGATCACGGCGGGTTTTGCATTCTGGCCCTTCTCGGCCTCCCGGGGCCCTCTCCAGGCCCCAGGACCGTCAAAGAAGGGCTCGGGGTGAGCGCCAGGTCCCGCGGACAGTGCCCAGACCCTTTGGGGCGACATGCCGTGAACAAGTCACGACGTCGGATGTCTGGGGAGGGGGCCCTGGCCGTCCCAAGCGGGCCGCGGCCGCGCCCCCAGACAGGTCGGGCACGACCACATCCACCGCCACGTCCGCCACCGCCACGTCCGCCACCGCCACGTCCGCCACTGGCAACTCCACCACCCACACCGTCACGCTGGTCACTGGCACCACTGCGACCCAGACCACCACGACCAGGACCGGCTGCCCCGCGGTGGCGCGGGACGGCAGACTTATTCTTCTTTTCCTCGTCCCCCTCCTCCTCCTCCTCCTCCTCTTCCTCCTCTTCCTCCTCCTCCGCCTACCTCTTCCCTCCTCCTCCCTCTTCCCTCCTCCGTCTGCTCCGCCTCCTCCTCCTCCTCCTCTTCCTCCTCGTCTTCCTAGTGCCTTCTCTTACTCATCCTCCTCCTATATGTCCTTCTCTCTTTTTCCTCTTCACAGCTTCTGCTCTGGTTCTTCCTCTGGCTTTTCCTCTCCCGAGGAGGCGGAGGAGGCACGGGAGGTCCTCCTCCTACTCCTTGCCCCCCTCCCCCCTTCTGCTCCTCCTGCCCAGGTGCCCACTTCTTCTCCTTCTCCCCGACCTGGGATGCCATATAGCTCGGCAGAAACCCGTCGTCCTGGCGTCGTCAACCGCTGTTCGAGAGCCCCTCGCGAAAGCCCTGGGAGCCCCAGCTGGACCTCGGGCCGAGCGAAGGACGGACGCCGCAGCAGACCTGGGACTCGATTGCGGGTCAGGAGGCCGAGCACGCTCCCGACGAGGGCGCGCAGTCCTTCGCAGGCGCCTCGCCAAGATTCGCACGAGGAGACGCCGCCCGCGAGCGCCCGAGCGGGCAGGCGCCGACATGCGCAAGCTGTACCGCACAGGCGAGACCTCGATTCAACGACTTTTTGAAAGAGGAAAGAAATTGGCTGTGCTTTCACAAACTGATGACATGGATAAGGAAAAAGATGATGACGAAGCGAAGGTGGAAGAGCAGACAAAACAACGGCTGGACCAGGCCAACCACTACGGAACCGAGGTATTAGGACTGACCAACGCCGAGCTGATACAGATCCAGCGCATACATCTCAGTACCGTGGACCCCAGAAGCCACACCATATCCCGAGTGCTAAGCCTATGTCTCCTTTGGGACACCTCATGGAAGGCTGGACGGGGACCTGTCATGTACTACGGCCTATCGGTTGGGCGCCTATCTTCTCAGCCTGCATTTCTTGGGATGTCGCGCGCTGCTGAATTTCAAGCCAAGGTTAACAACATCCTGGCCGACCCCCCCACGAAGTGAACATCTATCCGAGGACCTACAGGAGCCACCATGCTGAGCCTCACGAGAATATCTTGGACCCTCAGGAATCTTTATGAGTTCGTGACTTCGGAGGGCCAGATCTTGTAGCTTGCAGTCGCATCGCCAGCCCTGTTGAAGTATCACCTCGAGGAAGCTTGGGCGGCGAGCTTCGGGACGCGCGCTGCTGCAAAGATGGGCCAGGCCAATGGAAAGGTTAGAAGTCTCTGCTGCAAAACAAGTCCTTGCGGAGCCCTCCTCTCGCCCAGTGTCAGAAAAAAAACAGCTTGCTGTCATACCTGACTCAGTGTTGACTGAGTGTCTGTGGACTCAAGCCAGGCTTGCGGGATACGATGTTGATTAACACCACGTGCATTTGCGGGTACGAGACGGATGACATGAAGCACAGTTCCGACCGCCCCCTGATGGGGGCCCGGGCAGGGGCCTGGGCAGGGGCCGTGCGGCGGCTTGGCGGGGATTGCCCGTGTATCGAACCGCAGAAAAACGCTGCAAAACGAGGTCTCCGGCCGCCGCCGGAACCCGAGAGGCGTCGACAATGGGGGCGCGCGGGGGGCACCGTTTTTCGGAAATGCGATGCACCAGCAAATCGAACTCGCCCCCCCCCCCCCCTCTCAGGGTCCCCCTCCCCCCTTTGGTGGACCCCGATGACAGGGGTTCCGGTTAGGGGCCTGGGCAGGGGCAGTGCGGCGGCTTGGCGGGGACTGCCCGTGTGGGCTGGGCGGCGAAGATCAGGCGATCGCAAGCATGGATTAATGGGGGCGTGGATCAGCGACGGGCCCCGCGTCCATGGGACATCGCGGATCTCCCCCACGGAACGCGGCGGCGCCGGCCGCATTTTGGGGAGGGCACCTCCCCCGATCCATGGATTGATCGCTAGTCTGATGTCGGGCGTGTTCCCCTACATATATATATATATATATATATATATATATATATATATAAATAATACCCCAAACATACACCAAAAAGGTCAAAACATACCCCCAAAATAGTCCCCTGATTATTTTTTGATTATTTTTTACTATTTTTGGGTATTTGTTATTTTTCGTCGAAAATTCCCCTGTAGGGGACAGGCCCGACTTAACGCTAGTCCACGTCTGCGCGCCCCCGAGGGCCGTGCGGCGGTCTGGCGGGGACTGCCCGTGTGGGCCGGGCGGCGAAGGGGGGGCGGCTCGGGCGGGGCGGGGCAGGGCGGGGCAGGGCGCCTCCCTGCCGCGAGGCGGTGCCGCCTCGCGGAGGCGAACAAAAAGGCGGGCACCGCGGCCTGCAGGGGGTCCAGATCGATCCGACGGGTCCGAGCCGATGCCGGTTCCTGCCGGCCAGATCCCCTCCGGTTCTTGCGATCCGGCGATCGTTTTTTTTGTGTGTTTTGTTGTTGTTGTTGTTGCTGTTGTTGTCCTTGTTGTTGTTGTCGTCGTCGTCGTCGTCGTCGTAGTTGTTGTTGTTGTTGTTGTTGTTGTTGTTGTTGTTGTTGTTGTTGTTGTTGTTGTTGTTGTTGTTGTTGTTGTTGTTGTTGTTGTTGTTGTTGCTGTTGTTGTTGTTGTTGTTGTTGTTGTTCTTGTTGTTGTTGTTGCTGTTTTTTTGTTGCTTTGTTTTTTTGTAACTGAGCCCCAGAGAAGGGGTTCTTGAGACGGGCCGATTTCCAGCGTCCGCTCGGCTTCGTGCGCAAGGGTCGTCGCATGACGCTTTCGCTCGCACTCTGAGGTCTTACATGCAACGCCGCGGTCTCAGAGGTCCCTTTCGCTGGCGTTCCTTTGGATGCATGTCGCGGGTGCGGCCCAGTGCTCGCACGGGCGCTGTCGGGCGTATTGGTTCGGCAGATCCAATTTTCGATTTCGATTCCGTGCCGAAGCAGCTTGATCCGACGCACACCTCGACTCGATCCGATGCTCCGATTCGTTGTTGATTGATACTCTGCCTCCTCTCACCATTCGCTCGCCTGGTCCTCCTTCCCCTCCCCCCGTCCCTCGATCCCCCATTGTCGTCCGTCGTCCACCTCCCGTCCTTCCTCCCCCCCCTGCTCCCTGCGCCCCTTTATCCTCCTGCTTTTCCGCCTTCTCCCCCCTCCCCGTTGTTTCTGGAACCTTGCCGTTTCGGACGGAGGACCAGCGCGACAATGACCAGCACGGCGACCACGACCGCGACGAAAGGGACCACGCAGACCGGGACACTCCGCGGGGGGAAGCCGCGGTGAGACGGTGCGAAACGGGGTGCGCATGATGCGCTACATTTTATATTGGTCATACATGTTGTTATGCATGTGTCTCTCTCTTTCTTTTTCCTTTCTTTCTTCCTTTCTTTCTTTCTATCTATCTCTTTGTTTGTTGTCTCTCTCTCTCTCTGTATATATATACACACTAGAACCACGCGTGCGCTTCGCGTGCGCAGCCCAAACCATCCTCACAGGATCGGACGAGGATGGACACCATCCCGCAAGGATCACATGGGAGCGTATTTCCTGATGGACGCTTCAGGACTCGCCGAACAAAGGACCCAGGCGGCCTAACCGCATCAAGCCTTTAAGAACCCCCCCACCCACCCCCTCATCCGGTGAAAGTATAACGCAGGTGCTAAAGATATCGCTCTGCGAAAACGATTCCCTGAAAATATTAAATCTTTTTGCGGTGCTAACGATAACCCCGGGGGGTTTCTTAAAGGCTTGCCGGGGTTAGGGGGGTGCCCGAGAGCCCAATAAGAGCCTGGCAAAGCCATGCTGGGAGTCTCATCGGACGCCTTTGGGGTACGTGCTTGGATGACTCTTGTGGATTTCTGGGGATTGGGGCCTCCCCGGTTGCTGTTGGGGGTCTTCCGCTGGCATCTTGGAACTTTTGGGTGGCGCCTCGGGGGCTCCCCGGGGCTCCCCGGGGCTCCTGGCGTCTGGGCTCGAAGTGTCGGTTTTCATCCCCGCTCTTGCCCCTGTCTTGGGGCCGTCTTGGGGGCCTTTTGGGCTGGTTTGGCGGCCGCTTGGGCCCTCTTGGCGCTCTCTACGGTCGATTTCGGGCCATCGCGGGAACCTTTTGGGCTGTGTTGGTGCTGTCTTGGAAGTCTCTTGGGGCCTCTTGGAGCGTTGGAGAGTCGAAAAAGCATGAGGGAGGCGGAGAAATGAAGGCGTGAAGGAGAGACGAGGAGGAAGGAGGAGGGACAATGGCGCAGCGGGGAGCAGGGAGGAGCAGGAGAGGAAGGAGAAGGGTGTGGAACGGGAGACGGAGGATAACCAAGAGCAGGAAAGAGATGTCAGGGAGAACGGACTGAGAGGGATGAGGAAAGCAGAAACGCACTCTGGGGCACGCCAAAGCCTGGGCCAGTAGGGAACGGATGGTGGAGTCGGGCTTGAAACAGCAAATTTGAGGGAATCCCTTTTTTAAATTGGCTCTGGAGGCCCCCAAGAGCATCCAAGGTCATGCCTAGATGCCTCCAAGAGTCGCCCAAGAGCTCCGCGGAAATCCTCGAGAGGCCGAAAGGACTGAAAAACCAAGCGTTTCAACATGCTTTCAATAAGCCCCAAGACCGCCCCAAGATGCTTACAAGTGGCCACGGAGCCTCCCAAGGACCCCCCAGGGAGGCCAGAAACACCTACAAACTTTAGGAAACTTAGTGTTCAGTTGTCTTCTCTTCTCTCGCTTCCGATGTGCTCTCGAAGCTTCAAGAGGGCCCCAAGACGGCCCGGACGAAGGGGGGCATAATTGGATTCCCGCTCCATCTTGGATCGATGACCTCCAAGATGACTCCAAGAGGCCCTTCCAGGCCCCCCAAGAGGGCCCCAAGAGAGCCCAAAGAGCCCCAAGAGGGCCCACAAGGCTACCAAACTTGCCCCAAGAGGTCTTCATTTTCCCAAGATGCCTCCAATATGATCCCAGAGCGTGACTGCTTTATGCTACACATCCCTGGTCAGTGCAGCCCGCCTGGTGATTGATTTTGGATGGACTGGCTGGGATACGCGACGAGTCAAGAGTTGGTCACCCAAACATGATTTAGTGTTTTTTTTGGAAACTTCGAAACACATCGAACAACGCCACATGCGCCAAATTACCACAAGCGAGCTCATGCATTGGAGCATGACCGGGAAGGCAACGCAGCCGGCCGCCCGCTTGCGAACAAACAATCGTTTCGAACTGCGCGGCGCAAAACTCAGATCGCCATTTTGCAAGACGCAGCTTCTTCACTTGTCGCTCCTGCCAGGCTCCCCTGGGTGATCAGAGATCCCCGATCTGCCTCGCCCTCGCTCCGTCTTCCTCCTGCCGCCATCCTGAGGGGAGGGCAGGAGAGGTGCAGGAGAGCGGGGGAAGGGATGCCAGGACCTCCGCGGTGCGGCCGGCTCGGCTGCGCTGCGCTCGGCTGGTGCGGGCTCTGCCGGCTGCTGTGCCGCTGCTGCGCCGCCTGGGCCCGGCCCTTCTGCGCTGCAAGCGGCCTGTCTGTTTCGGCCGGTGCCGGTTTCGTGGTCGGTGCGGTCGGCCTTCGGCTTTGCCGTCGCCGTGGTCTGGTCGGCCTTGGTATGGGGGGGCGGGGAAGGCGGGGGTGGCGCCCAGGTATCTTCTCGACTTCCGCCTTGGCGACCTATACGTGGTTGCGCGCGCGCCTGACGGCAGGGTACTGTGGCTCACGCCCTGCGGACGCGCCCCCGTTTCCTCCGCCTTCGGTGCCGCCCTGCTGGGCTCACAGCCCGCGGACGCGCCCCTGTCTCCTCGGCCTTCGGTGCTCTTCGGTCCTCTCCTCCCGCTCCCTCTTGGGTTGGGGCGCCGTGTCGACGGCGTCCGGGTGGGCCGCCGCCCTCCGCCTGGGTGCCGAGGGACGCCCTCCGCAGGGGCGCACCCCCCGGCCGATGCAGCCAGGGCTCTTGCCGCTTTCTGTTCTCCCGCCCGCAGGCCAGGCCAGGCTGGCCCAGGCTGGCCAGGCTCCTCCTCCTCCTCCTCCTCCTCCTCCTCCTCCTCTCCTCCCTCCTCCTCCTCCTCCCTCCTCCTCCTCCTCCTCCTCCTCCTCCTCCTCCTCCTCCTCCTCCTCCTCCTCCTCCTCCTCCTCCTCCTCCTCCCCCGCCTTTGGTGGATCCCGGTCCGGGCATGGTTGCAGCCTGGCTTGCGGGCCGCGGTCTCCCAGGGCGGGGGGTGCACAAGCCGCGGCGGAGGTCGCCCCGTGCGGCCTTGGCAGCTGTGGTGGTGAAGGACAGTGTCGTCCATGGTGTGCTCGACCAGGCAGTGCGTGTGCCGGGTTCCCTTCCCGCAGCCCCGCTTGGCCGCGGCGATGGCGACTACTGCAGCGGCTCCGGCCCATGCGTACGATGTCTTGACTTGTCAAGCGGGGTCCCCAGAAGTCCCGACCGACCCCCCCCCCAGGGCCAGTTTTTCATCCCGGGTTGCTTTTTTCGGGGGTGGACAGAACCCCCACCCTGACACGTCGATTAATGAATTGTCCGTTTTCGGTTCTCGAGAGGGCGCCGCGGCCGTTATTTTCAAGGCTTGCGCCCTCCAGGTTTGGACCCGAGGTCGTTTTCACTAAACCACGTTTTACTAAAGGAAGGTCTGTCCATCCCCGATTTTTGACGGTTCTGGTGCCCGGCCAGGGCCCCCGGAGGTCGGACATGGGCAAGAGAAACCGGTCGCCGTTTCTACGCGGCGCGAGCACGTCTCTGCGGCGGTGGCGAGGCGGCGGCGGCGGCGGCCTCGGCGACGGCAGCGTCTGGCTCTGCGGGGCAGGGAGGGCGCCCGACGACGGCAGATCCGGCAGGACGTCCACGGGGACCAGCGGCACGGACACCAGGTCGGCGGGGGGGCGGCGGGGCGAGCGGTCAAGCCTCGGAGAGCTCTTGAGCCTTGGAGCCCGCTGGGGGTCTGAGGTGGCCCATCGGCGGCACCCCAGCATGCTGATGCTATGTGTGCGTCGCCCCGCCAGGGGCGCCGCGCGCACCGAGAAGTCTTACACTACATGCGTCGAGGGGGGCGCTTTCTGGCCGTATCGCTCGGGAAGCGGTATACTACAAGATGGTTATTTCAGACTAGATGTTCGGGTCGGACGCACGCCTCGGAGGAGGACACATAGTACTGGGATGTCCTTGTGCGTCCCAGCCCAGGTTCCGGCCAGCAGGAAGGGGGGGTGCGTGGCTCGAGGCGCTCTAGTTTCGCTCGGCTGGAGTTGGGCCCCGCAGATGCACCGCAGATGCACCCCGGGAGGGGTCTGGACACCGCTTGCCCCTCATCCCCCCCTTTCGACAGATCTTCTCGGGGCCCATGCAGCTCAGCCCCAGCCCCCCCTGGCCGCCGCCAGTCGGAGCCCTCTCCAAAGCCGCAGGTGGCTTCTCAGAAGGCTGGAGGGCTCTGACGAGCCCCGCCGCCTTCTGAGAAGGCCGGCCTCCTCTCGCTTCCCCCCTCGGCGCGCTGCCGGTCGCACCGGGCGGCAACACGGGCCCGTGAGGACTCCCCCGGGCCTCTCTCGGGGAGCCTCCCGGGTGCCCCTGGGCCCCTGCGTGGCCTTCCTCGGCCGGAACCAGCAGGGAGCAACATGCGTTTTTCCAAGGGTCCTCCTCCTCCTCCTCCTCCTATCCTCCTCCTCCTCCTCCTCCTCCCCTCCTCCTCCTCCCCCTCCCCTCCCCTCACCCCTCCCCCCCCCTCCCCCCCCCCTCCCCTCCCTCTCCCCCTCCCCTCCCCCCTCCCCCTCCCCCTCCCCCCTCCCCCCCCTCCCCCCCTCCTCCCACTCCCCCTCTCCACCTCCCCCTCCCCCTCCCCCCCACCCTCCCCCTCCCCCCTCCTCCTCCTCCTCCGCCTCCTCCTCTCCTCCTCCTCCTCTCCTCCTCCTCTCCTCGCCTCCTCCTCCTCCTCCTCCTCCTCCTCCTCCTCCTCCTCCTCCCCTCCTCCTCCCCCTCCTCCCCCCTCCTCCCCCTCCTCCCCCTCCCCCCCCCGCCCCTCCCCCCTCCTCCGAGGATGCATCTGGCATCGCAGAGGCCATGTGCAGGCAGGGCGGCGCACGCTGGCAAGCTGCGGGGTGCAACGGGAGGGTCGTGACTGCATGGGAGCCGGGTCGCGCACTATCGAAGACGCCTGCGGCGAGTCACCGCCGCCCCCTGCCTTTTTGGAAGCGCCTATGTGGCCGAAGGTTGAGGCCAGACCTGCCAAGCTATTGGACCATGTGTTCCCCGAATCGGTGTGGAAAGCCTTCGGGGAACATGTGCGCATCTTGAAGGTCATCTTGGCCGTCTGGAGGCCATTTTGACCCTTTCGGGCCTTCTTGGAGGACGTCTTGGAGGGCTCTTGGGCCGTAGGCCATCTTGAGCGTCTCGGAGGCCTCTTGGGCCTTCTTGGGGACCTCTTGGGGCCGTCTAGGGCCTCTTGGGCGATCTTTGGGGGCACTTGGGCCGTCTCGGGCTGTCGGAAGGCCGACGACAAGCAAATGCCACAATCCTTCAATAACTCATGGGAAATAAATGATTTTGGCCTTCTCGGCCCTTCTTGGAGGCCCTCTTGGAAGCCTCTTGGGCCGTCTTGGGCCGTCTTGGGCCATCTTAGGGCCATCTTCGGCCGTTTCGGTGAGCTCCTGGCCCATCCGACGCCGTCGGAAGCCGTTTGGGGGGCCCCTCTGGGCCGACTTGGGGCCCTCTTGGAATGCTCCAGGGCCGTCTTGGAGGCCATCTTGCGCGTCTTAAATGCCTCCTGAGCCGTCTTGGGGCCCCTTGGGGCCGTCTTGGGGGCTCTTGGGCCGTTCTGGGGCCATCTTGGAGGCCTCTTGGGCGATCTTTGGGCGATCTTTGGGGGCTCTTGGGCCGTATCGGGCTTATGGATGACCGAAAAGAAGCAAATGTCAAAATCCTTCAAAAACCTAAGGGAAATCTATGTTTTTGGCCTTTTCTGGCCTTCCTGGAGGCCCTTTTGGAGGCCTCTTGGGCCGTCTTGGGCCAGCTTCGAGCCAACTTCGGCCATCTTGGTGGGCTCCTGGGCCGTCTGACGCCGTCGGAAGCCGTTTGGGGGGCCTCTCTGGGCCGACTTGGGGCCCTCTTGGGGTGCTCCAGGGCCGTCTTAGAGCCCATCTTGGGCGTCATGGAGGCCTCTTGGGTCGTCTTTGTGCTCTCTTGGGGCCGTCTTGGGGCCTCTTGGGCAGTCCTGAGTCCATATTGGACTTGCCCGCGGCCGGTTGGCTGGAGCTCCGTTGCGTTCCCGCAGCAGCACTGGAAGTATGCCCCCCCGCCTTCTGCCCAGACGGTCTGACCTACACATCCACACCGCCCTTGCTCAGGCCCCCCTGAGGCCCAGGGTCAGTCAGTGCTACGTGCCCCCCTGGCAAAGCCAGACGCGTGCTCACTCGAGTTTGCCCCACACTTTAGTATCCCGCCCGCCTGGCCCAACCCGCCCGTCAGGGTCTGCCCGACCCGACCCGCCCCGCCCCGCCCGTTAGGGTCCTCTCGCCCGACCCGACCCGCCAGTTAGGGTTCACGCGTGCTCGCTCCGGCGTGCCTCACGCTTTGGTGTCCCGCCCGCCCGACCCCACCCGCCCGTTAGGGTCCGCCCGACCCGACCCGACCCGACCCGCCCGCCCGTCCAGGTCCGCCTGCCCGACCCGACCCGCCCGTTAGGGTTCACGCGTGCTCGCTCCCACTTTAGTGTCTCGCCTGCCCGACTCGACCCGCCCGTTAGGTTCCGCCCGACCCGACCCGACCCGTCCCGCCCGTTAGGGTCCGCCTGCCCGACCCGGCCCGCCCGTTAGGGTTCACGCGTGCGTGACCCACATTTTAATGTCCCGCCCGCCCGACCCGACCCGCCCGTTAGGGTCCGCCCGACCCGACCCGACCCGACCCGCCCGTTAGGGTCCGCCAGCCCGACCCGACGCTCGTCAGGGTTCACGCGTGTTCACTCGAGAGCGAACCACGCTTTAGTGTCCCGCCCGCCTGACCCGACCCGCCCGTTAGGGTCCGCCCGACCCGGGTCCGCCCGCCCGACCCGACCCGCCCGTCAGGGTTCACGCGTGCTCGCTCCGGCGCGCCCCACACTTTCGTGTCCCGCCTGTCCGACCCGACCCGCCCGTTCGGGTCCCCCCGACCTGACCCGACCCATCCCGCTGCCTGTCAGGGTCCGCCTGCCCGACCCGACCCGCCCGTTAGAGTTCACGCGTGCTCGCTGCGGCGTGCCTCACACTTTAGTGTCCCGCCCGCCCGACCCAACCCGCCCGTTAGGTCCGCCAGACCCGACCCGACCCGTCCCGCCCGTCAGGGTCCGCCTGCCCGACCAGGCCCGCCCGTTAGGGTTCACGCGTGCGTGACCCACACTCCAGTGTCCCGCCCGCCTGACCCGACCCGCCCGTTGGGGCCCGCCCGACCCGACCTGATCCGTTCCGCCCGTGAGGGTCCGCCCACCCCGACCCGACCCGCCCGTCGGGGTTCACGCGTGCTCACTCGAACGCGCTTCACACTTTAGTGCCCCGCCCGCCCAACGCGACCCGCCCGTTAGAGTCCGCCGACCCGACCCGACCCGTCCTTCAGGTTAGGGTCCGCCTGCCCGACCCGACGCGCAATTGGAGCCCGCGCCCATCCCCGGCCAAAGCCAACCCTGGCGAAAGCCAACCCTGGCGAAAGCCAACCCCGTCGAAAGCCAACCCCAGCGGATGCCAACCACCGGTGAAAGCCAACCCCAGCGAAAGCCAACCTCGGCGCGAAAGCCAGCCCCGGCGAAAGCAAGCCCGGCGAAACGAAACCGGGCGAAACGAAGCCCGGCGAAAGCCGACCCCGGCGAAAAGCATCCGTGCCAGGTGAGGGACCCCAAGAGGTCGAGAATGAGCCTAAACAGTCCCTTCGTGTTTTCTTCATGGCACGAGGATGTCAGGGTCCCAGGGTCACAAGTCGACCATCGGACCTGTCTGGGGTGCGTTCTGACCAGGATTTCGAGGCGGATCCGGCCGTGGCGAAGAATCTCCCCATCCTCTTCCCCTCCTCCTCCCCTTCCTCCTCCTTCCCCTCCTCTTCCCCGTCCTGGTCTCCACGGGCTCCCTAATCCTCACCTCCTCCTCCTCTTCCTCCTCCTCCTCCTTCTCCTCTTCCTCGTCACTCGACTAGAAGCGCCCGCGCCCGCTGCCATTTGGCTTACAGCGGACCCGCGTACTGAATACGGTACTGTGACGGGAAAAGGACAGCCGCTATCTTCACCATTGCCGCCATGTCTTCTCTCTTTTACCACAGCCACCCGTAATTCTAGTGTGTAGCGGAGTTTGGGGCGATCCCAGCTTGCGATCCACGGAGTTGCGCATGGTGCGATTTGGACGCACATTCGCACTCCTCCCAATCTCTTCAACGCTGGCACCTTCCGTTCCCCGAACAGCTTTTGCTTATGGTTGTTCCACAAACCGTCTGGCAATTCCCCCTAGACGCTCACATGCTACGATGAGGCAAACGTTGGACCGTGTTAGACGTGTGAGAGCCCAGCTGCGCAGAGCATCAGCAGCTGCAGGCTGCAACTCGATGTGGAGCGATTCGCCCACGGGACCGCCACGACGTTCCCCGAGCCATCTCACCCCACAGGCACTGGCCGCAGCTTCGCGTCGGGCACGACTACGAGGGTCCTCCCTGGGCTAATACCGTGTCCTGTCGGAGGCGCCCTCCGGCTAGTTTGCCCTCCCACCGTGGATCTTGATCGCCGACCTGCGGATCTTCGTCAGGGCGGGGCCATGGGACCCCCGCGGGGGCGTGGAACGCCGCTTCGCGCCCACTCCCCCGCGCGAGGTGCCGTGAGCCCTTAGAGATGCGGCTTGGCCTGCGCCTTCCCTTCGCGCTGCACGGTCGAATGCCTCGCGCAGGCTTCCGGGAACACGAATGCCTCTATCCAAACGGTCTCTGGGGTCATTTTCGTCTCCCGCCAAAAAGGCCATGCTAACCGCGTTTCGTTTGCAGGGTTCTCTCAGGCTTTCCAAGTCTATCCTCGTGTTCGGGCTCCGTTCTGAGTCTTGTGAGCTTGGTGTGCGGGGAACACAGGTAAATCTCACCACCACCTCCCTCATCCTGTCCCTCTCCCAGGAGAGAGGGGAGGAGGATGAGGGTGGAGGAGGGAAGGGGGATGGAGGTGGTGGTGTCGCCTGCGTCATCCATGCATTCAGGAGCGCCTCTTCATTCCGGCGCTGTCGCGGTCTAGCTCCTGGTATTCATAGATCTTGCGGTCTAGCTCCTGGTATTCATAAGTCTAATGCAAGAGTTGATGATTATTGACCGTTTTCTCTCCTAGATGTTCGTCTATCCAGCCTACTTGCAACAGTTTCGACTCTACCTTCTCCGTCGCGACAAAAAAGCTCGCGAAATCCAGATCTTATCTCCTGCAATACATCTTCCCTAGTCGTCGGGTCGCTGCGCTAATTTTGGTCGGTTCTCCAGCCGCTGATGTCAGTGAGCTCGGGTTCGACATGCTAGGACGTACTTTTTTCAACTCTTCTGAATCAAGCTTATCGCTGCCGCATCTGTCGCTCTGCGTTTCTCTTTGTCGTCCTGCCACTTGTCCCCCGTAATGGATCGCCAGCGTGCGCCTCCAGATGTGAGATTCCTGTGTTTGATCTGTCCCTAGGCCTGTGCCTCGCCTGGTTAGGGGGCCACATGCGAACCCTACCCATCCCCCCACGATTTTTGAGTGGATAAGCTCCAAGACCTTCCTAAGACCCACTCGTTCCATCTGAGCAGCTCCTGCTTCGGAACAGCCTCGGCCTGTACCGCCCTCACGAGGCCTCCCGCCCTGCTCGCGACCTCTCCCTTCACTCGTGGGCTTCAAGCTCTTCCGCCGCTGCACGCCCCTGCTCGAATCCCAGGCGCAGCCATTTCCGCGCTCGGGCTCCTTCCTCGGCCGCTGCCGACGTCGGAATTCTCTGGTTCTTTCGCCGATTCTCGCTGCGCTTGCTCTGCGGCCTGCTGGCCCTCGTCTTCGAGATCCTCGGGGCGTCCTCGGGGCGGCCTTCGCGCTGGCCCCCCTGGCTGCCCCTCGAGTTCCTTGATCCTCCTCTCCCGCGGGCGCCTCATCGCTTTCATCAGCATCTCCATCTTCGGCCCCTCCTGTCGGCCTCCTTCGAGGCGATCCGTCACCGCGTCCTTCTTCGTTTGAGCGCACTCCTGCAGCTTCGCGTCCAGCGCCAGTTGTAATGGCGCCTATCTTAGTGCGTCTGCTCGGGTCGGGCCCAATCCTCCTTCTCCTCATCCTCGGCCCCCCCCTCCTCCTTCTCCTCTTCCTCCTCCTTCTTCTCATCCTCCTCCTCCTGTGCCTCCTCCTCCTCCTCCTGTGCCTGTGCCTCCTCCTCCTCCTCCTTCTCTTCCTTCTCTTCCTTCTCCTCCTCCTTCTCCCCCTTTCCCCTCCTCCTCGTCCTCCTCCTCCTCCTCCTCATCCTCCTCCTCCTCCCCTCGCCTCCTCCTCCGTCCTCGTCCTGATCCTCCTCCTCCTCCTCCTCCTCTCCTCCTCCTCCTCCTCCTCCTCCTCCTCCTCCACCTCCCCTCCCTCTCCTCCTCTTCCTCCTCCCTGCCCTCCTCCCCTCCTCCTCCTCCTCCTCCTCCTCCTCCTCCTCCTCCTCCTCCTCCTCCTCCTCCTCCCTCCTCCTCCTCCTCCCCTCCCCCTCCCTCCACCTCCCCCTCCTCCTCCTGCTGCTCGCTCCTCCTCCTCCTTCCTCCTTCTTCCTCCCTTCTCCTTCCCCGCCTCCGCCTCCCCCGCGTCCTCCTCTGCTCCTCTTCCTTCTCCTCCTCCTCCTGCTCCTCCTCCTCCTCCTCCTCCTCCTCCTCCTCCTCCTCCTCCTCCCCCTCCTCCACCACCTCCTCCCGGCGTCCCCCCGAGTCTCTGGCGCGCTCTCGGGGGTGCTGCGCGGGGTGGGGGCGGAGAGGCCCCGAGCGGCTCCCGCGAGCCCCAGACATCCGACGGCGGCGTGTTTTTTTCCACAGCGAGGCTCCACGACGACGTGATTTTTTCCGCGTCCGACGACGGCGTTATTTTTCCGCTGCTTGGAAACCGGCTCTTCATCCCGAGACGTTTTGTTGACGGTCTGGGGGCCCACAAGCGCCCCCGAAGGCCAGAAATTGTCAAGCATCTTACGTCGCGATTGCATCACGACGCAAGGATGTCACGGGTACCCCGGAGCAGGTCAACGACCAGCGCGAGCACTGTCACGCTGAGCTCGACCACACCCACCAGGACAGCGGCGTCCCTTTCTCAGAGCGTCTATCCAGGCTGCCCATTCTCCTCCCCGTGACCATCCGCCTGCCCGTCCGGTCCGTATGTCTGCCTGTTGCTTGCCCGCCTGACTGTCTGTCTGTCTGTCTGTCTGTCTGTCCACCTGTCTCAGTCAGTCTGTCTGTCTTTAAGGACTGGAGTTTGCGCGATTCGCCGTTCGTCGCCCCTTCTCTGCCTGATTCGGTTCCTCCTCCCTCCGCGGTCCTCCCTGCTCCCCTCCTTCCCTGTGCTTCTGGCTCATTCCTCCTCCGCCATCCCTCGCCCCTTCCCTTGTCCCCCGTCTGTCTCTCCAGAGGATGAAGGTTAGATGGAACGGGCGAGGGATGAGGAGGAGGAGGAGGAGGAGGAGGAGGATGAGGAGGAGGAGGATGGTGAGGAGGTCGAGGATGGGGGACCAGAGGGGATGGCCTGATAGGAGGGGTCGAGTGTTGACCGCACCCCTTCTTTACACAAGAGCTCCACGCTGAGATCCATCCTAGTGTGGCTAAAAGAACTGATAACGACGTTCGTTTTGTTCTCAAGTTTGTTAACTGGCTGCCGCTATCCTTCCCCTGTACCAATGTCGCCCCAAGCGTGAACAAGCCTCTTGCGAGGGCGAGGTCTGCGCGGTCCCCCGCAGGCTGGTGTGAGTGGACGGTGGGGCCCCTCGGCACCCACAGCAAACATTGTTTGGCCGCTGCTCAGGTCGGCACTTCATAGCGAGCCTTCGTTTGCCCTGGAGCCCCGAGTTTTGTTTCCTCTCTCCTCGTACGGCCCCAGGGACTCCTGTTGGTGGGAGTCGCTTCCCACGAAATCCATCCGAGGGTTCCCCGTGGCGGGTGAAAGAAGTCCAGCTTCAGTTTCTGTGTGTGGTCGTTGTGGTTGCTGGGCCCAGCGAAGCGTTAGGAACTTCGCCATGCCTTGCAGTACCCTGTCCAAGAAAGGCATTGAGGTTCTTCGTAAGTGTAGCAGCGGTCTAGGGTCCAATAATAGTGTCATGCAAGTGACTGATTCTACAGACCATGGCAAGTTCCCAAGCCTAAGTGCCAGACTGTTACCACAATCGTTGCATCCTTGGCCTTATCCAAGCTCCCGCCTGTTCCCTTGTTGGGCAGCGTGTGGCAGCTCTATGGGATCGCATTCGGGCTTGTGAAGCCCAGGCCGACAAGGCGTAAGCCAATGGTGGTGCCCCGTCGCGACCCTGGCCGGCTCCTCATTCCCGCCATGGTGACAAATCCTTCTGAGGGTCACCACACAGCCGTTTTTTCACTTGCGAGTCTGTTCCCACAGGGGTTCTCCTAACTGAATCTTTCTCCTCCTGCTTATGCGCTTGTTCATCCACCACCGACCTCCTTCTCCTCATCCTCCTCCTCCTCGTCGTCCCCCTCCTCCTCCTCCTCCTCCTCCTCGTCCTCCTCCTCCTCGTCTACCTCCCCCCTCTGATCGCGCGTCACACGATATAATCATTTTGGGGAGCCGGGTCCGCTGGGACACCCGTCGGCGGACAGGAGTATCAGGGCAATCGGGCGTCATCGTTATGAGTGGTAGGATTCCAGATATGGCGCGAGCGCGGCCAACGTGCTTCTCCTCTCTCCTCTCTCCGTTTCCTTCGCTTTCCTCCGTTCTTCTCAGTGTTTTTTGTATTCTAACTATTATCGATATGTTTCTTCTTTGTGTTATCATGATTATTCTTATTCCTCCTCCTGTTCCTCCTCTCCCTCTCATCTCCCCCCTTCGTCCGCCACCAGCTCCGCCTCGCTGACCGAGACCACCCTCAGCTCCACCACGCTGACCGACGGCCCCAACCACACGGAGACCAACACGTCGTCGTCGAGCTCGACGTCGGCGACGCGGACGGCCACGAGCTCCACCGCCACGTTGGCCGCGGGCTCGGCCACAGCCCCCCCCTGGGCCCCTGGCCCCCGGGGCCCGCGTCCGCTCCCCTCTCCTTCCGCAGGACGCCATCGCCCGCGAAGTTGTCCAGACCTCTGAGGGCCGACGCATGGAACAAGTCTGAGCGCCGGATGTCTGGGGCTCTCGCGCCGTTTCGCGACGGCCAGACTGCGTACGGAAAGAATGGGTAGGAAGAACGATGGCTGTTCCTGTCCAGTTCTGAGCAGGAGTCGCTGTCGGTGTCGCCGCGGCTGTTGTCCATCTGATGCCAACGGTCGCCTGCCCAGCAGCGCTTGCTGTCGGAGTCGGACAGAACTTGGTGTTTGGGGATTGCTTGTCCTTATTCCATACTCTTCCTGGGCGCGCCAATCATTGACCAGCTCTTCGGCGCGTCCGACTTCTCATTTTTTTTCGTCCTCTTGATTTTTGTCATTCCGCCGTTGGTTGGGCTCCGGGCGGCCTCTTCGTCGCCACGGCTGGAGCCGCCTCGGAGTCCCGGTCGGAACGCAACCCGGAGAAGGTCCCGTGGGTCGCCTTTGAACCCCGGTGCCCTGAGATCCTCGCGCCGTGAGGCACTCGCGGCGGGCGGCTTGGGGCAATTGTCGGCCTCTGGAGGCCCTCATTGCGGCCCCGGGGCCGTCAACAGAACTGCTCAGGATGAATCAAGCCAGTCCCCTGGAAGAAGTCCGGTTCGTATGGGAGCCACGCTATGACAGCATCACGACGTCGGATGTCTGGGGCCCCCGACCGAGGTGGAGGGGGGGGAGGAGGAAGAGGAGGAGGAGGAGGAGGAGGCGAAGCAGAAGGTGGAGGAGGATCATGATGAGGAGCAGCAGGCGTAGCAGGAGGTAGCAGCAGCAGCAGGAGGAGGAGGAGGAGGCGGAAGAGAAGGAGGCGGAAGAGGAGAAGGACGAGGAGGAGGAGGACCAGGAGGAGGAGGAGGAGGAGGAGGAGGAGGAGGAGGAGGAGGAGGAGGAGGAGGAGGACGCAGAGGAGGGCGCAGGGCCGCCGCGCGCACCGAACGTGTGCTCGAGCATCCGCGCAGGCGCATGCACGCGGGCGCACTCGCCCACGAATTGCGCACGCTGCGTTGTCAGTGGCGACGCGGGGCCAGCGCGGAAGAGCTACCTGCGCGCCTGGACAGATGGGAAATTATGGAGTGATCAGGGGGTGGCGAATTGGATGGTCGTTGGCCTTCGGGGGGGCCCCTCGTCGCCACGGTTGGACGCAGCTCGGAAAACCGGTGCGTCTGGACCCCAGGAGGAGTTTGGGGACCGATTTGGAGCTGCCGCTGTCGCAACTCGAATTGCGCCGATAACTGCGCACCTGTGCAGATGGGAAGCTATGCAGAGCGGCAGCGGTGAGAAGGCGAAGGGGGGAGCCGCGCTCGGAGCTCGGCAGCCTCAGGCTCCTAGAGGATACATGCGAACGAGTGCGCACACACTCGCGCAAGAGGCCTCCTCCAATTCTGCGACCACTTGCGAACCCTGCCTTCCAGGGCCCATCTCGATCCGATCGGTCCGGTCCGATGTCGTTTCCTGCCAGCCTGATCCGATTCGATTGCGAAATTCCGACGATCCGATGCGGCCCAATGCTGACAGAGCGTAGTTGTGTGATTGGGCGAGCTGATCCGATTCGGTTCCGTCTCCGTGCCGATGCGGCCCGATCCGACGCACGTTCTGATCCGATTCGACTTCGCGGTTCGATGCTGCGTTATCCTGCCCTTGCGATTCCAGCCGCCGTTGGGGTATCGGACACACCTGTTGGGGTCAATGTGGTTGCGCACAGGATTCGACTTCCGAACCCCAGCCGGCGTTTCAGAAGCCCGAAGTTGCAGGCGCCAGGCTCGCACGCGGGCGCATACCAATGCAGTCACAGGGGGGCGCTTTGGAACCGGGCCTTTCTCCTTTCTGATCTCGCCCTTTTGCACGGTAGGCAAACATGAGGCGGGGCCTGTTGCGTTATCCCCCTCACCCTCCTCCTCCTCCTTCTCCTCCTCCTCCTCCTCCTCCTCCTCCTCCTCCTCCTCCTCCTCCTCCCCCTCGCCCTCCCGACGGCAAACTCAGGCACGCACCATGGGTTTCGCTCGTCTTTCCTCGCCCCCTGGAGGGGGAGGTCTGGCACGCTCCGTCGCCCCTGGGGGCGAGGAGGCTGTCCGACTGCCTCGCGCCCTCTGTGGGTCGGCGGTTCTGCGGGGCCGAGGTCAGTACGACCGTGACCAGCCAGACCGCCACCACGACCACGGCTTCCTCGGCCACGTCTCTGACAGAGAGTGCCGTCCTTAGGTGTCGCTCTAATCTTTGTGTGCAGGGTTTGACCCCCACCCCGCCTTTCACTCCTCCTCCTCCTCCTCCTCCTCCTCCTCCTCCTCCTCTTGCACCTCCTCCCCCTCCTCCTGCACCTCCTCCACCGCATCCTCCTCCTCCTCCTCCTCCTCCTCCTCCTGCTCCTCCCTGCCTTGCTCCATGGAGGGAGGGGAGAGGGAGAGGAGGGGGAGGAGGAGGAGGATGAGGAGGATGAGGATGAGGAGGAGGACGACGGGGGGGATGGGGGAGCAGCAGGCAGGAGGGAGCGCGAGTAGGAAGAGGAGGAAGATGATGAGGAGGAGGAGACGGAGGAGGAGGATGAGAAGAAGGAGTAGGAAAGGGCGAACCATGATGAGGAGTACTGTCAGAAGGAGGGTGATGATGATGCTGCTGCTGATGATGATGAGGATGATGATGCTGATGCTGATGCTCATGATGCTGATGCTGATGCTGCTGATGATTATGGTGACAGTGATGATAGTGATGATGATGCTGCTGATGATGATGATGATGGCGATGATGGTGATGATGCTGATGATGCTGATGGAGATGATGATGATGCTGCTGATGATGATGCTCATGATGATGATGATGATGATGTTGTTGATGACGGTGGTGATGATGCTGCTGATGATGATGATGTTGATGACGGTGGTGATGATGCTGCTTATACTGATGATGCAGATGATGTTGATGCTGATGCTCATGATGCTGATGATGATGCTGACGTCGATGATGATGAAACTGATGATGCTGATGATGCAGATGATGATAATGCTGGTGGTGATGATGCTGATGATGATGAGGGTGATAATGTTTCAACAGCTGCTGAGGATGGTGATGCTGCAACTGATGTCGATTATGCTGCTGCTGATGATATGGTGATGATGCTGCTGCTGTTGCTGATGATGATGCTGATGCTGATGCTGATGCTGATGATGCTGCTGCTGATGATGATGTTGCTGATGAGGATGAGCATGATGAGGACGAGCATGATGAGGACGAGGAGAAGGAGGAGGATGAGAATGAGGATGAGGATGCGGAAGATGATGATGCTGATGATGATTGTGATGATGATGATGATAATGATGAGAATGATGGGGATGATGGGGATGCTGAGGATGATGATGCTGATGGATGCTGATGCTGATGCTGATGCTGCTGCTGATGATGCTGCTGCTGATGATGATGCTGCTGATGAGGATGAGCATGATGAGGATGAGGATGAGGATGAGGATGAGGAGATGGAGGAGGATGAGGATGAGGATGGGGATGCGGATGATGATGCATGCTGCTGATGATGATGTGATGATGATGTTCATGATGATGATGATGATGGGGAAGATGAGGATCATGATGCTGATGCTGCTGCTGCGGCTGATGAAGAGATGCTGATGAGCGATGATGATGATGATGATGATGATGATGATGAATGATGATGATATGATTAGTTGATGATGAGGATGATGGGAGGGAGGAGGAGGAGGAGAGGAGGAGAAGAGTGAGAGGAGGAAGAGGAGGATATGATGATGCTGCTGCTGATGATCATGCTTCGCTTTTATCTTAGCGTTCTTGCTTCGGCTTGCCCTGGGAGCTCTGCCGGGAGTCCTCGCGCGACGTATAACGGGTTTTTGCGGTTGGCACCTTGGGGACCAAGGTGCCCCGGGGCGAAGCGAAATCCAGCCGCACCATAAGCGCGCCGACATCGGGGTTTCCCATCCCGCTGCAACTGTTTATGATGTCTCGTTCGTTGCCGCACGGCGTGCGCGCAGTGGCCGCCAGGGCACGGGCATTCTCGTTTGAACACCAGACATGAACGGTAGCCTATTGATGATGGTGGTGGTGATGATGATGAGGAGGAGGAGGAGGAAGAGGAGGAGGAGGAGGAGGATGAGGAGGAGGAGGTAAGAGGAGGAGGACGAGGAGGAGGAGGAGGCGGAGGAGGAGGAGGAAGAGGAGGCGGAGGGGGAAGAGGAGGAGGAGGAGGAGGAGGAGGAGGAGGAGGAGGAGGAGGAGGAGGATGTGGAGCGGCCCACTTGCCCGCGAGGGGACTGGCAAACGAGACCGACGGGTGCCGCGTGGACCTGGGAGCGGCGGACTATGCGGAGGCGCGCTGCGCGGAAACGGCGGGGCAAGCGGCGGAGCTCGTCGCCAAGCTGGCGGCCGTCCAAGCCGCGGCCTCCCTGCACCTGCTGGCGGCGCAGACAGATGGGCTTCTGCTGCGCCACGGCGGGACCAGGAAACTCACGCACCTTCTCCGGACGAGCCCACCGGCGGCCCCGGAGGCCGCGGCCGCGGCCTACGGCGAGGCCCTGCTGGCGGCCTACGAGGAGCACGCAGAGCTGGACCCGCTGACAGAGCCGCAGCGGGCGCAGTGCCAGCTGCCCTTGCGAACTGGCGGGCGCGGCCTGCGCAGCCAACGGCAGCTGGCGCCGGCGGCCTTGGCCATTTCCTGGGCGCAGAACCTGAGCGGCGTCCGGGAGCGCGCTATCCTCGCCTGCCTGGGGAGCCTGGACGCTTGCGGGCTCCCGCTCGCCGGCGCCTGCCGCGACGCGTTGGCCAGGCTGGCGCAACTGGCGCCGCCGCCGGCTTGCCCCAGCGCGGAGCTGGCGGAGCTGCCCACCTGGCCAGAGTTGGCCGAGACGCCTACCCGAAAGCTCCAGAAAACCCTCGCTGCAAGGATAGGCAACAAAACTTCCTTGCTGAGAGCCCAGCGCTCCTGCGATCCTGCGGGGGGCCGCACGGTTCCGGGTGGCAGACCGCTGCGCTCGGGCAGGCCCGCGAGCGGCTGGAAGACGCAGGCTACAGGGGCACTGTCCGTTGCCTCCTGGGGCAGGACGCCGTGCCGCCAGGGGCCACCTGCTGCAACCGCGCCCGCGCGGGCGAGCGCGCCGGCCAGCGCTGTGGCGAGGCGCTCTGCAGCAGTGCCCGCCGCGCCTGGCGCTGCCCGCGCGTCGGAGGCCGCAGGGACCTGGAATGCGCTTGGCAGCACATCCACACGGAATGTGGCCACCGCGCCGTGTGCCAGGTCCGCGTCCCAGTTTGGGATCGCTGGGCATGGCGCCGCGCCGGATGCAACGCGCGCGGGACCGGCGCGGCTGGCTGCCGCTTGCGGCACTTGCTGCGGCGGCGTGGCTGCCGAGCGCGAGGAGGTCATTTTGGACCTCGAAGTGCAGCGGCCTGGCCACCCGGGTGCCTTCTTCAATGGCACTGTTAGGTAAAATCGTACTGGGTGGCTTCGCCGCGCTGCGAGCCGCCGCCGGCCAGGACGGCTCCTTGTCAGCCGCTTCCGAGGCGGCGCCCTGGCGGATGGTGCCCCTGGCGTTGGAGACCGCTGGTAGGCATGGCCATGCATGCATGCGGCCGTCCAGCACCTGCGCAGACTTGCTCGGGACCAGGCGGCGCTGCTGGCAGATGGGGGCGAGGTCGAAGCGGAGGCCCTGGCTGGCCAGCTGGTGGCCCAGTGGGGCTGGGAGCTTAGCGCGATTCTCCACCGGGCCGCAGCGCGACAATTGCGGACGACCCTGGGGGCGGACCAAGCCGGACGCGCGGCCGCGCTGCGGGCCGCCGAGGCGGCCTAGCTGGGCCGAAGCGCAAGGGCGCCTGGCGGGCCTCGTAGTGTTCGTCAACTGATTCGCCGTGTCGTTAAGTGAGTACAGAGTCGGCGGCGCGCGGCCGCTCGGTAGAACGTGTCGGCGCTTGCACGAGGAGGAGGAGGAGGAGGAGGAGGAAGAGGAGGAGGAGGAGGAGGAAGAGGAGGAGGAGGAAAAGGAGGAAGAGGAGGAAATGTCCTTACTCCTCCTCTTCCTCCTCTTCCTCAGAGGCCCACTTCTAACTCCTCTCCCTCCTCTTCCTCCCCCTCTTCCTCCCTCCTCCTGTCCGTGCTCCCCGCCATGCTTCGCCCTTTCCTCCTCTTCCTCGCTTTCTTTCTTCTCTTCTGCACCTTCATACTCCCCTCCTCCTCTTCCCCCTTCCCACCTTCTCCTTGCCCCTCTTCACGGGGCATGGCAGGGAGGGGGCGGGGAGGGGGAGTGAACGGTGGGGTGGTGGTGGTGGTGGAGGTGGTGGTCGTGGTGATAGTGGGAATGAGGATGGAACCGTTAGAGAGGGGTATGCAGAGGAACGGTGGAGTCGTTCGTGCTTCGCTATTTTTCTTATTATCCGGCTTGTCTTAAGAAAGTGTCGACGGCCCGCAGATTATTGCGGTTTGTTTCCTCATCGTTTCCTGGTTCCGTTTTTCTATGCGGAATCCCAGTGTACGTTTTCCAAAAAAAAGGGGGACACGTTTGCAAATCTTCCGCACAAGGAGCGCACGCGCACCCCCCCCTAGAAGAGGAGGAGGGGCAACAATAATCGCAGGATGAGGAAAACGAAGTGGAGGAGGACGGGGAAACACACACTGAGAAGGAGGGGGGAACGAACATGAGGAGGGAGAGGAGGATGTTGACCAATGTGGGCCATCCTTCGCAACAGAAGAAGATGAGGAGCAGGAAGGATAATCATCAGGATGAGGATGGTGGTGCTGATGATGATGGTGATGGTGATGATGAGGAGGGGGATGATGAGGAGAAGGAGGGTGAAGAGGCAAAACCGCACTGAAGCCACATTTTTCAAATCTGGGGTTTTCCTTATAAACTTTACCCGAGAGAGTGGTCCTCGGGAATCTCACGGCAGGATTTTATCGATGATGACGAAGGGGGAGGGTGAGGACCATGTTCGGCCCAGAACACATCAAAGATGCTGCACTACTGCGCCCTCTTCATCAGTTCTCCCCTCTACTCAAGAGTGACATGTTTCTGGAATTGATGTGGCATCTACTTTTTCCCTACCTAGGCTCTGCCTAGAAGGGTTCTTACTCTCTGGGCTGAAAGGGGCTGGGCAGTGGAAAGCGCCCCGGGCGGTTCCCCCAGTATCCGCCCCGCGGTTCCCCCAGTTACGTCCCCTTAGCTTAGCGTTGCTTATCTCA